GTTTTAAATATCCGGCTCCCGTTGGTACACTGTGTCAAGCAAGGGAAGCTCTCAGTGTTTATCTTTCTTCTTCTATACAGTCAGCAAAGTGTTAAGAGGAAACATATCCAAGCAGATGTGTGCATGTGATTTCTCTTGAAATGTTTCATTCGTGTTGATGGTTCGAAGGAACGGAAAATATACAAATTGTGCAATAAACTCATGTGAACGCCATAAAAATCGCGCCGTGAATTCCTTATGAAAATATCGAACAAAGAGAGCAGCCATGCAAATTCGGAGAGTTAGAATTATATTAAAAACATAACTAGATACCTTTTATTCCATTCCATCGATAAAAAGATAAATTCTATCGCAAAACGGTCTCGAAATAACCGACGAATACTTGCGTATCGATGTTTTTCATAATATTCGATAAGCAAATCAGATGTACTGTTGTTTATTCTTCGCTATAGTTAGAGTTATATGTTCAAAATACAATTGAAAAATCTGCTGTGCAATATAATTCTTTTTATCGTAACGTTAGTATTTTGAAATTATACAATATACGGGATAATAGATATAATTATTATACATATATTTATTAGACCTGCTTTGAGTATTAAGATAAAGTCTTAATACGTATACTACACGTTATTATCTAAATGTTGTAATAATACAAGTTTATGGTTGTTAGACTTAGTTATTGTAGGGTAGGTGATAACGTGTTTGTTTGTACATATCGCGGTGATATGTTTGTAAACAAAAATTGTAGCTGTTTACAAATGCAAATACTATACGCCTCGGTTAAATTAGCTAGGGTCAAGGATGTCAATTTAAAACTATCGTAGTTCATTGTTTCAGTAGAAACATTTTGTTCGTAAATTATATCGAAAGGAAATAAAACATCTTAACGTATGATATCTTATATATTGCATAAAAAAAGAAATGGTGATGTTGGTTGGTGGTGGTTTAATGGTGATTTAACAGCATGGTGCCATCATCATCTCCGTATAGTACATGTGATAACATCTATATCACTTTGAATATCACTATGAATTTATTATGTTCTACGTCAACCTATTTCATTATTTAATATATTTGAAAGCGTGTTTTTATAACAGAAGTAGGAAGTGATGTGCTGTGACAATAACTAGATTCCTTTACATAAAAAATATTAAGTGTACCTATGTATATATATATATACGCATGTATTAAAAGCAGAAACAATTTCATTTGAATACAAGATACGTCACGAATACTGTTATTTTTAATAAATATGTCATATTAAAAGACAATTTGGTCTAAATTGTTTAAATATATTTTTTATCTGTACTATACATATAATGCGTTGATCAAATTCTACAACCGATATTAACTTTTCTTATAATTTACTTTCTTGAATAAACTAATATTTTGTTTTGTTCCTAATTAATAATGTAATTAAAATTACATTGTACTAGGAACTTAATTAACTTACTGTTTATCGTTATAATATTTTCTTTCTATAATAATGAAAAAAATAATTCCATATTTCTGACACTAACTTGTTGCATTCGAACATTGTTGCATCGTACAAGGCCAATAGATAAACTCTTCCTATACTTACTAAAACTTAAAATTCGCTTCTCTGTTGACATATTTTTACATCCACGCGAATACGACGGTTTCTTTTCTCTATCCGAACTAAATATTATGATTTCTAACTCCTCGAATACCTTCTTCTTGACTCTCTGTACACTAATCCTGTTTCTTTATTCGCTTTCGTTACATACCACGACAAATTATAATTTCCACTAAAGCATGATGGATATCTAATGAATATATGGATGAATACATAATGGATACAGTCATGTATCTTAGAGTAGACTAAAATACGAAGACCAAAAGAAAGAAACACGGAGAAGAGGGATGAAGGGTAGAAAGAGAAAAATTGGACGGCCGCTGAAGTGCGTAACGGTGCGTCGTTCAATGCTTCTGGCGAGACGATCCACTACGGCTTTTTACATATTACCCTCTTTTTGCTCAAGTCCGTTCCCGACTCTCGATACTTCTCGATGTTTCACGCTTGCGCTCGCAGGCGTTCACATAAGTTACACGTTTTTGAGAGTATACATACCACCGTCGTAGGTATCGTGCATATTTTTCTCCAGGTTGCTAGACGTTCCACGTGGGTGTATGTACAGCCCCATCCATAAGTCTTAGGATACTAAAATACATTCTGTGTATTACATATGGCCATCGCGATTTTACATTCGTACAAGATAACGATCCAACAGTTTGTAAAGACTATCACAAGAGGAACACGATGAATTTCTTTAACCTCATCCTTTAACCTAAACCGCGTGAAGAATGTTATATACATTTGATACGAAATTCAGAGAAAGGCATCGAAACCCTGAATTAAAAATTGGAGTAAGAACAAATATGATGGAAAACTCAATAATACGAGTGTCAGAATTGGTTAAAAGTCTTCAATTTCTATTCATTTTTACGTTCGTTTCAAACTGGATCATAATTCTTAAAGCCTTTAGTAATTTCCAAATAATTCCTGAGATTTATCACTTTTCTTGTAAATATCCTAATATGTATGAACGAATTCTTAAAGATTTTAATAATCCCGCAATCATTTCCGAGATTTATTTTGTAAATGCCTAAATACTTACTATCGAGGGTGTACATGTAACCGCGCGCCGTTCTCGTACAAAGGACGACACGTGGAAAGAGAAAATAAGTAACGTGCGATAATTCAGACGTGCTTGCTTCCTGTCTTCCTGAAACTAATGCCGTGTTCCCGTGTTCTGCGCAAGAAAAGGAATACAGTTTTCGCCCTTTTGGTCCGAGTTGTCCTATTAAAGTGCGATCTCCCGAATACCGTAGCGGTAGCGTAGACAGAGATTCAGACGTGAACCACTGTGAATGAGGATGGAAGGTAGTTTTATACGTTCGAGGTGGAACGACGATACGGATAAACGACGCAGCGGTAACGAATGATGTCTTCGTAATATTTCACCGGCGTCTTGCTGCCTTTTGCGCGCTTCTCCCCGATCCCCTTTTCGCTTCTAGGCACTTCCGGGGTCAAGATTCACGAGACATGAAAAAGGAAAAGGCGGAGAACGAAAGAAAGAAAGGCGACAAAGGCTGAGCGAAAGAACGGGTCAGGAAAAGATAAATTGGAATCGCGGATGTGCCCTCGTAAAAGCTGCGCTTTGCTGGCCTTTTTGCGATATTCCTAATGAATGCGTGCGTATTTAAGCGGTAAATTGTTTTCTGAAAATTCGAGCATTTCGAGAACAAGATACGCGCACCTACTTTGTAAGATCGTTTGTTAGATCTTTCGGCGTAATAATTGTGAGAAGTGGGCTATCTGCTGGTTTAGAAGCTTCTTATCTTCTTGGTTTAGAGAATTTTATAGGTAATATTTATCAAACGTTCTGAAATATAGCTTAGAATAAGTAGCAGAGATATACTGGATGCGAAATACACTAACATTTAGTGCATATGATTCGTAAAAACAGATATGTTTATTATTACACTTATATTACACGTACGTATCATACCTACCATATGACGTACCCATCATATGAAAATAGTTTATATACATACGTACGTATATCAACTTATGCTATTCCAACCTATATGATAATCCAAATTCGATAGCTCGCCTTTATATTACTTTTCAATTAACGATATTTAATAGAATATTTTTTTCACTATGATAATATTTAATAACATATATGTCCTGCGTTATTTCCATTTTAATACGAACTAATTACAATTCGAACTACGTAATTCAAATATCTTTCTTTGTGATGAATATAGAATTTACATTACAAAGCGAGTCAGATGTGCTTCTAACAATATCACTGGAAAAATCTGGAATTCTGTCCGGCAGGATTTTCAAGTAGAGTGGCTAGATAGCCACGAAAATCCGGTACGGTTAGTTTATTCGGTCATAAATTTCGCGACGCGTAAATCGTGCATAAACGTAATCGCTGAACAGACAGGATACAGGGAGCCGTGAATCCGTTACTCATCGAGCACTTAGATTTCCTAACTGTCGTAGGTCGACGTTCACATCCTCCTCTCGAACTTCCAACGAGACTCCGTGAATTGCGTTGTCGATGTGCCTTCGAGCGAGGGATCAGTATACATATGTTGTTACACAGTTCGACACCCTGGCGCCTGCGGACAGCTCGACCGATGCGAGACGGACAAGAGTGTAATGCGCGTCAGTGGGATATCGTAGCTTGTGGGTAGAGTACGTTTGCGGTTTGCCGGATAGCATTCAACGTCGCCTCGGCCGGCCGTCGACGGAGACGTTACAGGCGCTAGAAAATATAATATAACGTCTTTAGTTAGATCAAGAGGAGGAAGCCGTGGCTCGACAATGGCCCTAATGCGACTGAATGATGATACGTAACAAACCTTATTCAACAAAAAGTTTCGGTCGGCAAATTGAATCCAGAGGGCTTGGATTCTCTTTCTCCCTCTCTGTGTTCGCGTTTTCGTCTCACCCCGAAAGGAGGTGTGGAATAAGATCACGGCGCGACCCGTTGATCGTGTGCGTGTAGAGAGGGCGAGTGGCGATGGTCTTCGTCGAACGAGCACGAGCGAGAAACGGCACAGAGCGAAAGAGACGCGCGATCTTTCGGATGGTTCGGGCGAAGCACAGTGGTGGGGATAGAAGGGCGGTCTGCGCATGCGCGGCTCGCGGCGGAACAGCTTCGCGCGGCGACGCTCAGTCTCGTCTGTCGCAATCCAGTGCAGATATACGTGCAATTACCCTGTCAACAGTGCTTAAAATCTCTTCTGGTGCTCGTGGCGTTGCTCCGCAAACGGTGATCGATAACGTTCGCCGACCGATACGGCATCGATCGTATTTTCTGTTCGCGCGTTACACTGCTGCGAGAAAGAGTTTGGATCTCGCGTGTCGCGGCCACGTGAAGGAAAAATTAAACGTCCCTCCGTCTCGCGGTTCAC